TATTGCACCAGTCAGAAACTTTGGTACACTACTGAATAGAAGTGGTGAGAGCAAGCATCCTTATTTTCCAGATATTGGGGGAAAGCGCTCACACATTCTCCGTTAGTATGATGTGAGCTGTTGGTTTTTCATGGATGTTCTTTTCCAGGTTGAGGAAGCTTCCTTCTAGTCCTACTGTGTTGAGAATTTTTAATCATGAATGGGTGTTGAATTTTTGTTCAACTGAGATCATATAATTTTTCTGTCTTACTCTGTTAATATGGTGAATTACACTAACTTTTGAATGTTTAAACAACTTTATATTCCTGGGATAAATTCTTTCTTTGTCATGATGTTATATACGGCTAGATTCAACTTGCTAAGGACTTTTTATTTCTGTGTTTATGAGGGTATTGGTCTGTGATTTTCCTTTCCTGTAATCGCTTTGGTTTTTATTTCAGGGTAATTCTGGCCTCATAAAATGCATTGGGATGTGTTTTTTCTTTTTCTATCATTTTGAAAAGTTTGTATAAAATTGCTGTTATTTCTTCCTTAAATGTTAGATGGAATTCTCCAGTGACACCATGTGGGCCTAGAGTTTTCTTTTGGGGAAGACTTACATAGCTATGAATTGAATTTCTTTAGCAGATAAACAGTGATATTCAAGTTAATCTGTTTCTTTTTGACTGAGCTTTGACAGTTGTATATTTCAAGGAATTTACATATTTCATCCAAATTGTCAAATTTACTATTGATATGAAGTTGTTCATAGCATTCCCTTATAATCTATTTAATGTATGTAAGGTCTGTAGGGTTGTACCTTGTTCTGCTCATGATACTGACGGGTAAATTGTTCTTTCTCCAGATTCTGTCCCTAATCAGACTGGCCAGAGGTATATCAACTTTGTTGATCTTTTTAAAGGACTATATTTTGGTTTCATTGGTATTTTTCTTTTTGTTTCCTATTTTATTGATTTCTCTTATTTACTATTTCCTTCCTTTTGCTTACTTTGGGTTTAATTTGTCATTTCCCACCCCCCCCTAGTTTCTCAAGGTGGAAACGTAGATCCTCAATCTGGGGGTTTTTTGGCCATTATTTCATTAATGATCTCTCTCTGTCCTCCTCCTGTTTCTCCAGTTGCACATATGTGTTAGACCTTTGATATTGCCCCACAGGTCTTGTACGGTCTGTCTTTTTTTCAGTCTTTTTCATACATGCTTAATTTTGGATAATTTTTCTTGCTTTGTCTTTATTTTCTTGCTCTGTCTTCATATTTATCAATCTTTTCTTCTGCCATATATAATCTCTTAATCTCATTAATGTATTTTTTCAATTTTTTTGCCATTTTTAATGAAGTTTATTGGGGTAACACTGGTTATTAACACTATAAATTTCAGGTGTACAACTTTATAATATGGCACCTGTATACTCTGTTGTGTGTTCATCACCCAAAGCCTAGTCTCCTTTTGTCACCATATCTTTTTTATAACTTTTATTTCTCTCATACATTCATATTTTCTTTTACCTTCTTAAACATATGAGGCATATTTATAACAGTTTCTTAACAGTCTTGGCTGCTGCTCTTATCATCTGTGCCATTTTTTGTTGTGTTTCTGGTGATTATTATTTTCCCTTGTTATGAGTCCTAATTTCCTGGCCTTTTTGCCGGGTCAATTTTGGTTGGATGGTGAATGTTGCAAATTTTACATTGTAGGATGCTGGATTTTGTTTTAGTGCTTTAAAAAGTGTTGGCCTTCTTTCTGTCACACAGTTAAGTTCCCTTAAAGGCTTGTTTCTAAGATTTGTTAGGGTGAGTCCAGAGCAGTCTTTACTCTGTGGCTAATTTAGGCCTCCTAGTAAGGCAGTACCCTTTTCAGGAGTCTACCTAATTCTCCACAGGGTCTTTCCTTTCTGGCTACTGGGAACGTGAACTATTCTCAGCTATGTGTGAGCTCCAGTAATTTTTAGGCCTAATGCTTTCAGTAGTTATTTTCTTGGCCTTGGGTAGTTCTTTCCCATATATGCACAAATGAGAGCTCAGCTACAAACATAAAGCGTTCCCTCTGAAGATCTCTGGAGCTCGACTTCTGTGAAGCCCCTTTCTTTCTAGTATTCTTCCCTGTAAATTCTAGCTGCCCTGGCCTCCTTCACCTCTCATCTGTCTTCCCAACTCAATGAGACCACTGGGCTCTGTTTCCCTCTTCTCAGGGATCATGCTACACTACCTATTATGTAATGTTTGAAAATTGGTGCTTGCTGTTCTTTGTTTGGTTTTCTAATTGTTTAATGGGCGGAGCCTCCATGCTTCCATTATTGCCAGAGCAGAGGTATGAGCCTACACATTTAACAGCAAAATGATTCCAGATATACTAAATAGTTAAGGATGGAGAAGAGGAACCTTAAAAACTAGAAAAAGAATGGTTACAAATATGTACCGGCTCTTTAGCAGGATGGGACTTTTTAAGCATAAGATTCATTCATAATAAGAACTCTCAAAAAAATAGGAATTTCTTCAACTTGATTAAAAAAGGAACCTACGAAAACCTACATCTAACATTACACTTAATGGTGATAGATGAGTGCTTTCCCCCTAAGGTTGGGAACAGGCAAGGATGACTTCTCTTATTCAGCGTAGTTCGAGGTAGTGCAGTAAGGCAAGTCAAGGAGGGGAGGAAGCATACAGATTAAAAAGGAAGGAATAAAACCGCCCCTATTTGCAGATTCCATGATTGGCTATGTAGAAACCCCTGAGGAATTTATTCTAAAAACTCCTAGAACTAATAAGTAAGTTCAGCAGGGTTGTAGGACACAAGATAAACATACAAAAATCAATTGTATTTCTGTATCTTAGCAATGAACACGTTGACATCAGAATTAAAAATTTGACATCAAAATTAATTTTTAATCATTCAAACAAAAATGAAAGACTTAGGTGTAAATTTAACAGAACATGTACTGGACTTGTGGGCTGAAAACTATACAACCCTGATAAAAGAAATCAAAGAAGGCCTAACTAAACGGGAAGACATACTATGTCCGTAGATTGGAAGACTCGTTAGTGCAAATGTCAGTGCTTCCCAAATTGACAAACAGGTTTAACACAATCCCTGTGAAAACTTCAGCAAAATTTTTTGTAAATACAGACAAGAAGCACAATTCATCTAAGGACAAATTGATAAACTGGACTTACCAAAATTAAAAACTTTTATTCTGTGAAAGACCCTGTTAAGACAAGGAAAAGACAAGCTGCACAGTGGGAGAAAATATTTTCAAATCATATACCCGACAAAGGACTTATATCTAGAATATATAAAGAACTCTCAAAAATAGTAAAAAATAAACAATCCAGTTAGGAGATTGGAAAAATATATAAACAGACATTTTACCAATGAGGATCTAGAGATGGCAAATAAGCACATGAAATGATGTTCAACATCATTAACCACTAAGGAAATGAAAATTAAAATCACAATGAGATACCACCACTACACACCATCGAATGGATAAAATAAAAAACAATAACATAAAAAACAATAACACCAAATGCTGTTGAGGATGTGGAGAAACTAGATTCACTCATACATTACTGGTGGGATGTAAAATAGTACAACCACTCTGGAAAACATTCTGGTAGTTTCTTGAAAAACAACATGCAACTACTATAGCAATTACACTCCTGGGCATTTATCCCAGATAAATGAAGACGTGTGTTCACATAAAAGTTGTACATGAATATTTGTAGCAACTTTATTTGTAGCAGCCCAAAACAGGAAACAACCCAGACATCCTTCAACAGGTGAATGGTTAAACTGTGGCGCATTGATACTGTGGTGTGCTCTTAATACTTAGCAGTAAAAAGGAATGGACTATTGATACACTCAGCAATCTGGATGGATTTTCAGATAATTATGCTGAGTGAAAAAAGAAGTTAATTCCAAAAGATTACATACTGTGTGATTCTATTTATATAACATTCTTTTTTTTTTTAAGATTTTATTGGGGAATTGGAGAAGGGAACAGTGTTGGGGAATTGGGGAAGGGGAGCATTGTGTTTTTCCAGGACCAGTCAGCTCCAAGTCAAGTTTTTGACCTTCAGTCTTTGTGGAGAGCGTAAGCTCAGCTCCAAGGCCAGTTGCCGCTTTTAATCTAGTTGCGCGGGGTGTGGGGAGTGTGTGTGTGGGGGGAGCGCAGCCCACCATTTCATGCGGGAGTCGAACCGGAAACCTTGTTGTTAGGAGCATGTGCTCTCACCACAGCTCAGCTTAGGCACCGCTCAATGGCCCATGTGGGAATTGAACCAGCGATGCTGTTGCTCAGAGCTCGCACTCTAACCAACGGTGCCACCCAGCCAGCCCCAGTATATATGACATTCTTGAAATGGCATAATTATAGAAATGGTGAACAGAATAGTTGCCAGAGGTTAAGGAGAAACTCGGGGCAGGAAGGAGTAGGCTATAAAGGGGTGATGTGGTGATAGAAATATTCTGTATATTGACTCTGTCAGTACTAATGCCCTATGTGTGATATTGTGGTAGAGTTTTGCAAGATATCCCCATTGGGAGAAACTGGGTAAAGGGTACAGGGGATTTCTGTATTATTTCTTACAACTACAATTATTTCAAAATGAAAAGATTAACTTTTTTTAAAGCAACGCAAGAAACTGTAAGGAAAAAGATAGTGTAGCTTGAATACACAAAAGTTTTACCTTCTGTAGATCAGAGAATATCACAACGTTTAAAAGCCAACATTAGACTGGAAAAATATTTGTAACAAATAAGATTGAGAAGTTATCTTTTTAATATATAAAAAATTATATAATTAATTTAGAAAAGTGATGTCTTCCTGTATAAGCAGTGCACAGAAAAAAAAATGGAACTGACTACAAAATATATGAAGAAGTATTTCAATCTCACTGGTAATTAAGGAAATAAAAATTGGAATTCCATTTTTTCTCCAAATTGCAAATGTTCACTGTATAACCGCATTCCCAAATAAAGTCAAGTCCTTACCATGTTTATTTTCTACCTACCTCTTGAGTGTTGTTGAATTTTAGTTACAAGTGATAATAACTTTTAAAGATTGAAGTATTTAACAATGGCATTAAATTTCTAACCACATTATCAATAATTATTTATTTTACATTGACAATTCTTACTTATGGTTCACCACTTTCTTGTATACGGTATCTTTCAGGAGTTTAAATTTTTGATTAATTTTTGTATTTGTCAGAATGCTTCTTTAATTGCCTCTCCCCCTACCCCCATATAGAGTGCTGTACTTTCTGAGCACTTGGATGTCTATGCATGTGAATTTTTTTACCTTTATGCAGATAATTATTTGGCTGGATATAAAATTATATGATCATATAATTTATAAGTCTGAAAACATTACTTCATTCTGTACTTTCATTTAGTGTTGAAAATGAGAAATCTTATCCCAGTCTGATTCTTTTTCTTAATAGGCAACTTGTTTTTAGTTAGCTAGTTTGTTTTCTGTCTGGAAATTTGTATTCTTTTTAATACTTAAAATTTGAATTTGGGCAGGTTCATTGGCATATGTCTGAGTATGTATGATTGCATAGATTTTTTCATAGTGTTTTCCATCTGAAGACTTGAGTCTTTCTTTAGCTCAAGGACATTTTCTTTTATAATTTCTTTGGTTGTTGCTTCCGTTTAACTTAATCTGCCTTCTCATTCTAGAATTCCAGTAATTCTGAGATTGGATATCTTGGATCAGTCTTCCATGCAGCTTATCATTTTTCTCATAATTTCTGTTTCTTGGTGATTTTTATCTTTGTTCTAGGAGAATTCCTCAACTTGGACTCTGATACAGCAATTTGTTTTTTAGCCATGTACATTTCAATCTGCTATTTTCTTCCTCTAAGTTTAAATGTGTTTTGTAATTATGACTTTCTGTTTCCAATAGCTCCTTTTTATTTGCTGTTTGCTCCATTTTTTATATTGAAGCCATGTTGGTTTTATTGGTAAAATATTCTTCTAAATATTACTGAGAATATCAATTTTAAGTTGGCTGACATTAACTCCTATTTCCTGCCTTGACTGTTTTTTAGGGGCTCTTTACATAGTTTGCTTAGATTGGTTCCCCTGTTTTGGACTGCTGATTTCCTCATAGGACCAGTGAGTTTTTTTTGCTTGCTCATATTTTTAATGAAGCTCTTGAGTAACCAGTAATGTTGGCTGATATGGACTATCTCAGCACTTGTGTGAGTCACTACTTAATTTTCCTCAGCAAGCCTCACCATCTTAAACTGATAGGCATGGTAGTCTACAGGTAAGCTTTGTTCTTGGTGTGGGAAGAAGGCAGCAAAATGCTGGAAAATGGACTTAAGTGTTCAGTGGCTGGAAGCCAAGTAGCAAGGAGGCTTCCCCAGGCCCTGCTGTTGACCAAGGAGGCGGTGAGGACCTTGGGTAGCTAAGGTCCCTGTTACCCAGCATTCCATCCACAGTAAGCTTAGTAAGCCTGGAAATCAAGACTGCATTGGCCAAGATTCTTAACACACTACTGTCAGTGATGGTGAGGATGTGATAAGATGGACAGTCTTTTACATCACTAGTAGGACTAAAAATGTACACCATTCTTTTGGAAAGTAATTTGGTAGAGTGTAAAAAAAAAGGCTTTTAAAATGTCTACTCCCTTTGTTCTGGTTTTCATATTTCTAGAAGTGTATTCTAAAGAAATAGGAAAGTAGACATGGATTTATATTCAGAGGTTTTAACTGCTGTGTTATTACAATAAGGGAAAATTGAAAAGACTCTAAATGTCTTACAGAAGAGGCGTGGTAAATCATATCAATTATGTAGCTGTGTGATGGGCTGTTTATTTTACAGCCAACTTTAGAATGCCTAATGACATGAAGAAATGCTCATGATATAATGTTGACTGAAAAACGTCAGGCTGCAACATTTTATATACAGTACAAGCCTTTATTAAAAAAGAAAAAATATATAATTGTATATGATAAAAAGGCCAGAAGTAATACAACAAATTATTATCAGTGGTGGGATCTTAGATGATTTGTTTTCTTTTTAAATTTTGTATTTTTCAAATCTTCTACATGAGTCTGTATGACTGTTATAATTAGAAAAAAACAGTAAATGTAAAAATCTCTCTCCATACATTCTGCTGCACCAAAAGAGACCACTGCTTTTCAGAATTTGTAGGCAAAAAGTGGTTTACATTAGGGTTGAATTTGCCGATTATCTTAATGTGTAAACGGATTTGGAATTCTCCAGCTTTCCACGCTGCGCAGCGAGCATGGCTGCGGCTGCCAGCACTGGCATGTGAGCTCCGCAAGGCCATCTGCTGCGCAGGCGAGGCGTGGCTGACACAGATTTATTTCATTTTGTTCTTTGATTTGGCAACATTTTCTCTTTCCTTATTATCATAGCTGGGATTCAGGACCAGTATTACTCATTTTGTTTACCAGTGTGTTGTTTTCTTTTGTTCCATTTTGTGAGGATGAAGAAGCCAACAATGGAAATTCTGTCTTCTGAAATGCAGTGCTTGTCCTTGGGGATCTTGGGCATGTCTTGCTAAGGCGTGCGCTCTTTCTGATATTTAACAAGCCATTTCAGTTGTTTTGATTAGTAGAAGGCTTTGTGGTGTATTTTTCAAAGAGCTTAGCGTTCCTTCTCCCCATGCCTCTCCCCCACCCCTGAAGATTTGGAAATGGTTCCACATAGAAATTATAAACATTAGCCTTGAGCTGTGCTCTCTCCATCTGGTGTTTGGTACTTCTTTTTTTCTTTCTTTCTTTTTTTAACTGAAGGCTTGTGTCTGTTTAATCTTCATCACTACTGCAGAAGCAGGTGTGAGACTTACACTCTGCCCCAAGCACCCTGCACTGTAGGGATTTTCAACTGAATTGGGATAGTTAGCCAGACTTCTACGAATTTACTCAAGTGAAACTTTAGACCTGTTAGTCATCTGAGAGATTTCTTGAATGGATTTGTTGGGATGGGACGGCTACCGCCTGAGAAGCTTCTTTGAGCCTGACGCTTTATTTTTTTGAAGAGACATTCTTAGTAAGACTTTGTGCTACTTTTCTCTCTAGGTTACCCTGAAGAGACTTATCCAATTTATGACCTTTCAGATTGCATCAAGCGTAGGCCAGGAACAGTCCTGGTGGATTACCCGGACCCAAAAGAGCCCTCTGCTGAAGAAATAGCTGAAAGCATGGGAGTGCTAGAAGAAGAAGAACCTGACCATTTGGGTTGGGAAATGCCCACTGACCCCAGAGCCCAGGAAGATAATTCTGGTACCTCGTGTGACCCAAAGCCGGAAACCTGTTCCTGCTGTCTTCATGAAGAAGACGATCCCGCGGTCTTGGCAGAGAATGCTGGGTTCATCGCCGACAGTTACAGGGAGCAGGAGGAAACCACCAAAACGTGGCCCCAGGACTTTAGAGATGAGGGGCTGGGCACCAGTGCTGACAAAGCATATACAGGTGGCACACTGAGGAAGCGGAACCCCCCGGGGTTAGAATGAGAACAGCCAGTTTGGTGAAGTCTCCATTACCCTGGTCCCAACGTGACTGATATCTCCTCTCTCAGATTCCATCCTTGGCCCTGCGCCCTGCACTTCATTCCCTGTGTTTAAGTATCCTAGCCAGTCAGGTCACTGCCGTAGGTAGCGTGTATTCTTCCTGGTGCTCACACACCTGCCACCTTGTAAAACGTCCCAGCGATTAGGAGGAACACAAGACAGCTTCACGCCTTCTCTTCCTGACTTTCCTCCAGCACAGTCAGTCCACTGAGTAATTGTCAGATCTGTCATAACTACCGGTGGGCCACTCGGGGGCAGAGGTGCGCCTCTTTGTGCTAGGACTAACAGATGGTTTACCTGGGAATGAACATCAGCTTACACAATGATGAGGACTTAAGGTTGCAAGAGTGAAGATTTCAGAGGCCAAGATGCCTTATTCTCTGGGCCTGGAGCAGGTTAGTGGTCCCCTTTTGTGGGGATGATGGCGCCAGAGCAGGGTAGGACCCTGCTGTCTGAGCTGAAGGCCCTTCGTCTCAGCGACGGCCTTGTTAGGGCGTTGATGCCTCAGATCCCCTTTTCTCCAGAGGAGCAGAAGGTACCCATTGACCGGAAAATCAGCCCAGAGACCTGCTGGGGGACTGACTGCTTTGCTCTGATATTGCCTAGATCTCGAGCTTCCATTATCCCTGTTCTGCTTAACAGAAATGCCAAACCCATAAGCACCTGTGTACCTCTGGCTGTCAGTGGCCAGAGGAAGCTTTAGATAGAGACTTCAGTCCCTGCCCTGCAGAGCCAAGGCTCGAGGTTGCTGAGGCCACAGGAAAGCCTGCCCAAGGGTGGTGGTCCTGCCATGAGATATTTGGAAGACCAGGGAGCCAGCAATGGGGAGAGAGCCCATGCGCTCGTGGACAGTCCTTGCCTAGAAGCAGTTTCTGAATGTTGTGCCCTCTGGGAAATTTGTTTTCACAACCACATGAATTGAAACAGAAATGAGGAGGACTGAGCCTGTAGACAAAGTGCCAGCCTAACAGGGAAGTTGCAGCATGTGGCAGAGAACCAATGTAGCAGTGCCCAGGGGAAGAGACCATTTCTGTTTCCGTATTCAGATATCTGAGTCTTCTGAGAGAGCTGGGGAAAGGAGGAGGAGGCTGGTTAGGCCTGGGAGGAATTGGACCAAACCACAGGCTTCATCTCTAAGATTCCATCTGTCATGTGTGTTCTTGAGACAAGATGGCACCCATACATCCTGTCCAGTAAGGATAAGTGAATTCAGTTTACATGTGAGACCTGAGAGTTTAAGGAGGACACATTCCTGAGGACATTCCCAGTCATGAAATGGGGAAGACTTGAACATTAAGAAATTTGGAGCTAGATATGGCTTTTAGAGTTCTGTTGTTCCCGGCATGAGTGAGATGACAGGAGCGTGGTTTAAATCACAAATAGAAGCATCCAGGCGGCTGTTAGAAGGTACGGGGTCGTATTAAGATAACGTGTCAGCTACTACTAGGCATTTCTTGATAGTTAATGAATTATAGAGAAAAGTCCAAGACTGAGTCTATGGAAAGTAGATTGCATCTATTTTGTGTGGAACATTTGATTCACTTGTAACAAATGCAGTTTAAAATGTACTGAAAATAATCTAGATGTAATGTTAAAGGTAAAAAAATAACGTAGGTGCTTTTCACTGTTTCGATGAATTGTTTTCTGTGTTCTTTCCTTTCATTCACCATTAGGGGTTGCTTTATGAGGAGAGTCCTGGGTCCATGTTTTAAATTTCTTTTCTGCCTTAGGATAGATTCCCCTATTAGAGATGCATATGTTTCCTTTTAGCTTATTCATTCATTCATTCAGCACACACTGCTCAGAATTGGGCAGTGGGAACAGAAGGCTCCATTCCTACCTTTAAAAAGCTTGGTTTAATGTGGGAGCTTTATCCAATTTATTTTTTTAATGAACTATGAACTTTAAAAGGGCTCAAGATCGGGAATTCTTCAGGCAGAGCAATGTTGGTCATGATTCCACCCCTGCCTGTTTTCACAGTAAGATTTCATCAGCTCCTTAACTCTTCTGAGCCTTGGCTTTCGCACCTCTGAAGCAGGGGAGTAAAAGCACGGGTCTCACAGGGTGGTTATGAGGATTAAATGAAGTCATCAGTGCCCGAAAGCAGCGTTGGTCCTATCCCATAATAACCACTCAGTAAGAGGTAGCTGGTATACTTTTATTGTACAAAGTTTTATGCTGTAATTGAGGTATGGACCCAAATCTACAGGAGTACAGAGAGACCATTTTTGCCAAGTACATCCAAGAAACTTTCCAGAGGAAGTGGGTCTTGAGGCATGCTAAGAGCTTCTCCAGGTGGGCAAGGAAGAGAGGACATTCTTAGCAGAGAGTGGGTGTGAAAAGAAATGGATATTCAGGTATTTTGATGAGGTTGCTTTGTAAGGTGTCACATAAGCAACTATTTGGAATGTTAAATTTTGGGGGAAAGGGGCTTATGAAAATAGTTCCAGAAGTACTGGGAGCTCATCACTCTTGCTGCCCTAGCTCGTCGTTGATTTATATAGTAGGAATACATTTATATAGCAGATATTGTGTTGTACTTTTCAAAAATTTCAGATTAGATAGTCCTTTTTGCATTGTCTAGAATGATTTTATCCTCCAGAGATGACAACTGTATGTGAATATACAACTCAGGATGACCAAAATCATGGCACTGGTTCTTACTATCCTGCCTGATGTCTCTTTCCTCGTGCTCGTCATGCCTCAGGACTGGTGTGGGCTGTGACCTTGATAGTTCCCCTGGCCCTAGGTCTGCAGCGGCCTTTGGTCACTGTGGCAGAGCAGTCATCCCTCTGGGGGCAGATAGCTGGCCTCTAGGAAACCGCTGCATCACCTGGGACCATGCTTGGTAAGTCATGTTGGTGACCGAGCCAGGAGATCTCTTTCCGGGTCATAACAAGAGGCAAAAGGAAAGCGCCTCATTAACTCCAGGACTAGTGATGTGTGAGCTCCAGAAGCTAGGCCCCGGAAAGTAGGCAGAGGAGTAGAGGCACCTTTGGCCTCTAGAATAGATGGCGTAGGAGCACCATACTATACTCTCTCTACCTTCTATGGCTTGGGTGATCAAAAAGTTTATGACCCAAACTGGGACACTTGGGAACTTCGGTAATAATTGTGCCAGGATAATGACACGTATAAACCAGAGCTATCCTGGACATATGGTCACCCTGTTCATGGTTATTTAAAAGATTTTTCTTTAACCTGACCACTCATTAAACAATAAAAACTGCTTTCCTTTTTAGTCATAGCCTGCATCTGCTGTTTCCCACAGAGGCAGAACCAAGGAGATGGGCATGGTTCGGGCAGGAAATGCTCTTGGCCACATAAAAATGCCAAATCTGGGGTAACAAATAAACCAACCCTACTAATTACCACACTCTTAAACCCAGATTGTTTATATTCCAAAGAAAAATATAGCACTTCAGCTGTCTAGCAGTATTGAGAGAAAAACGTGAAGTATCTGACTTTTCCTTGACCATTTTTAAACAAATGTTTCTAAAATGTGTCTAACCTTTGATCATTTTTTTCTTTCCCATTTTACTACAAAGACAATAGGACAGATTTGTCCTTTTTCTTAAATCATTCCTTCTCTGAGCATCAATTTCTTCATTTATATATTTGGAATAATACCCACCTTCCAAGGCCGTTAGGATTACATGAGATACAGTTTATAAAGTCTCTGTCCCAGGGTGTAGCATGTGGTAGGTGCTCATGACAGCACTGTCACTGTCATCAAGTCCTGTACTGCTGGACTTGCCACGTGCCACCTTCCAAGGTTACCCAGACTGCCAGGTGGCCCAGCACGCGGGGCTCTGCAGCCTCTGGGTGACCTTAGTCTTGACCCCCTCCCTCAGGATCAGACTGTTCGCTTTCATGTCTGCTTCCACCACAGCTGCAGTCTCCCTTGCTCTTGATGTCAGAGCGGCCTCAGGCTGAAAAGAAAATCCCCAAGCATGTCCCAAGTCCTGTTTAAATAGGTTAGGATCTGGTAGGGCCACAGGAACCAAGGAGCAAGGTCTTCATGTTGTTTCTACCCTGGGCCTTGCCACCTTTTCCAGCTCTACGGCCTGTTTTTCATTCCTTAGGGCCAGGCCCACGGGGATACTTAGGAACCAACCGCCCGTTCTCCCAGCTGGCACAGCCGACCCTGCAGAGGGTCGCTCTAACTTAAGTGCCTCTGTCCCTCCCATTCTTCCAGGCTTCCCCAGCCTCCACGTGCAGTCCTGACCGTCCTTATACCTGACACGCGCAGGCCAGAGGGAGGTCCATTTTGACCCAATTGTCATTCTTTCCAAACAGGCCATGATCCCCTGTTACCTCCATCTTCCTCCTCACTCCTGAGGCTCTTAGGACAGAAGGAATGAATGGTGTAGAAAAAAAACCTTGTAGGTAAGAGACATGTTTTTTTTTTCTCCTTTTATAGGAAAAAAAAGTACACAGTAGTGTTGAAACAGTTCAAGTTTAATTTGTTGATATATGGTCTGTATTTAGACAAACACTTAAGTTCTACAACGTACATAATGTCAACATGGGAAAATACCAACTTTGTCATTGCACATACCAATAAATAAATACATTTGCTCCAGAATACCAAAGAGTTTATTCAAAAAGTCACTTAATAAAAGCAGTTTTGCAAGTTCATCTAAAACTCCAGATAACTTGGAACAAAATAAAATGTCTGACCACTCCAAAATAGGAAGAGACAGTCTTGTGCAAATAGACATACACATTCTAAGCGTTATGAGAACTGGCTAAATGTACGTTCCCAGCAAGAAAAGTGTCACCCATCCTAACCAAGTCCCCTTTGTCACCAAATGCAGGATTAAGGAGGCCAGAGTCGGCCTTCCCTTCCTGAGCCACTCTAAGTTCCTCTCTCGGAAACTCGGGATTCATCTGCAGCTCTGCCTGGACCTCATGGGGGAAGGGACAGGGACTGGAGAACAGAACAGGAAAGGGGTGTGACATCTTTCTTAGGAAAGAAAAAAGGCACAGTGATGAGCTAGAAAAGGTAGTGATGAAAGCAAAGATCAACTTTCATTCACTCTGACTCCTACTGTAAGCTCTGAAAGTCAGTCCGAGCTCCTCATTTTGTAGATGAGAAAACAGACCTAGAAAAATTACACAGTTTGCTCAAAATCACATAGTTATGAAGTTCAGGAATGCCTTCTATAAGACCAATTTGCCTCTCAACTTGGTTGGAAAATGAAAAAACCCAGTACTTCAGCTCTGCCTCTCCCTACTATCCTGAGATGACAGAAGACTGCAAACTGGAGGTACAAAAGGACAGGTAACCGATAAACTCAAACAAGAGTCCATCCCTTGGCCTACTCCTAGGGGCTGCTACAGTTCAACAAGTCAGGGCCGTGAGTGCTGGCCACAGCAAGAAAGCAGACTCATTCAGCTGTCTAGCAGTGTGGGCTGAGGGCCACCTGGCAGCCTGACGCCACAGGGATACCTCGACTGGGGCGAGGAATTTTTTGAAGAGAGGGCAAGGCCAGTGTAACTGCGGTAAGAGAAAACCAGGGACTCCACTGGGAGGTGGAATTTGTGCTTGCATAACAGAGCCGTGGCTATGGCCAGCCCAGCATCTCCCCTCGCTGCAGCCCCCACTGTGAGGAAAGCATGGAACTCTTAGTTTGATGTCATCACTGTTGCTTGTTAAATTTAGAACTGCCTCTGAATAAATGGCAGATTTATTTAGAGGTAAATGCCCTGCTATTTACAGAGCAAAGAAAAACTTGTTTCTACAGTTTTCTTGCCTTTATTGTCATTGAAGGAGTGGGCTCCAAAGGTTCTCTTCTGGCCTGTGATTGTCACCCTCCCTGGCGGATTCCTCCAACACCTGTCCTTGGCATGGGTCTGTACCTTACATGCTATGCTCCTGCAGCACTAGTGTCGTGATTTTTAAGGCACATTCACTAGAATACGTTTAAATTCATCCAAAAGCAATGCATGCAACACACTGATTTCTTCAGGTAATGTAGAATGGGAACTGAAACGCAACTTTCTTGGATGGCATCCTCCCAGTCGGAGCCTTGGGAGAGAGAGCTGGTGCTTTCCCAGGCATGCTTCCTTATCAGAGAGCACGGGAACGAACACAACCCGCAGGTGCACTACTTCCTTATTCCTTGCCTGTCCGTTCTTAGCAATATCCTAAGAAACCTTAGTTGATGATTTGCAGATTGCCCTTTTCCCCAAATACACACAGACACGGAGACGCAGACAGACACGGAGCACCTTGGAGCCAGAAGGAAAGAAGTGTCGGGGACGTGAACTTCACCATCTGCAGAAGAACTGTTTGGGGGCAGAGGGTGCAGTTTTGGGGGGTGGCCCCAGAAGGAGTTACGGAGCCAGGAGCAGTCATAGAAGAGCTGCCTAAGGTCTCAGCTGCCTGCTCTCTTAGGGACTGTTCATCATCGAGTTCCCTGCCCAACTAAGGACCATCTGGAGAGAGGGCGTAAAGAGCCAGAACTCTTAACTGCTGGAGAAGCTGAGCCCAGGTGGTCTCCAGGGGCTCTGGCAGCTTTGAGTCTTTGGGCCCATGACTGTGAGGCCAGTGGTCAAGGAAAACCAACATCACCGGGAATGGGGTCACAAGAACAAATCTTGTGAGGCTGGGTCTCGAGCAGGTGACTCAACTGCTCTTGTCACTCAATGCCCAACAGAGAGTTTTGTTGCTGAGCTACCTTCTCCACAGCCAGGCTAGAACACAGCCCACATTCCCGACCCACCAAAATATCCAGGCAACTCCCTCTCTTGTGTACAAGAGGAGAAAGCAGAGGATAGGAGTTTTCCATTGTGCTTCTGATTTTTCCACTCGGCCACCAGGATCTCCACTCTCACTAGGATCCAAAACCAGCTTGTTCTACCGTCAAATCACAGACTCAGAGAAACAGCTTGACCAGACTTTACAGATCATCTAGTTTCCATCATCCCAAATGTCAGCAGGTCTCTTCTCCAAGTCAGAAAAGGAAAAGCCAGACTGGGATACGGAAAGGAGGATGGCACTACAATATTTCCCGGGGAAGTGGACCAGCCCCAGTACAAAAATCTGGTGCCCTCAAAATGGCCCCAAGTTAAGAGCTGTCTAGAGCTAGACCGCGCTGACAAAAGCTAGGTCACTGGACGGGCCTCTCACAGAGACCTGTGGCTAAGGTGTGGGCAGATCTGTGCTGGAACAGGGATGCCTTGCTTTAAGCACTCAAACAGGAAAACCTACATCATGAGGAAATGAGGGCATACTACTTCCACTTAAGTCACAACTCCTTAACCTCACTACAGAGCTTCACTAACATGCTTCAAGTATGACTTTATGTTTTAAAACTATTTCTATGTAGCCTTTCCAAGCACATCTACTCTGAAGTGAGGAACAACTCCTGCTTGCTAACCACTGATTTCTGATCTCCACGTGGGCAAGCAGCTTCTGCCAGGAGACCAGTGTTCCCAAGCCGTCATGGCAGGCAGTGCAACCCAAGGAGAAGCATGGCAGTGGAGGGAGAGATCAGGCCCGGCCCCAGGACACTCACACCCCACCCATCACACCCAGATATGGAAACGGGCAGCAGCCTCGCTAGGCCTGCTCTCCGGGGGAGCCAGTCCTGGTCAGTCTGACATGATGGCTTTCAGCAAGGAACTGCCCAGTCTCCTGAAATGGTTCCAATTTCATACATCAACTCTGACTTTGCTAAGTCTCTGGAGTCGGGCAAAAGGGTGAGAGCATGTGGACTGGGCCACAGGAAGACCGGAGATAGCGGCTCCTTAGGGGATGGTGGGAACAAAGGAATCCGGTGAGCTGAAGTTCTGAACTGCCACTCACCAGCCAGGTGGCCCAGTGCACATACCATTTGCTGAGTGACTTGCCTACAGTGACAGCGTTGTACTAGTTGATCTCTAAGGGTCCTGCCCCTCTGATCTCTTAATGGTTCTGAAATATTCTTGCTCTCCTCACCCTGTCCCGTTTCTCCCCATGAAGAACCACACAAAGTCCTCAGCAACCATGACCTAGGCTGACTGCAGTGGGAGCTGACGCACAGGCACAAGCACCCGAGCTAACCAGCAAGAGCCCAGGTATGCCTACCTGTGTGTCGTCTGGGGCTGGCACCTGGGCCCATCCTTGTTTCCTGGGGGTTCTGCAGGGGCTGCTCGGCAGAGAGCTCCTGGGGCAGCTGACAGGGCTTCCAGGACAGCCCTGATCCAGGGAGCCTGTGCCATGCACCTCCTGTATTCTGAGCCTGTGTCCTGCAGGCCCTATCTTCTGAGACATCTGGCCTTAAGGGCCGGCCTCCTGTTGCCTCTGTGCACAGAGAAAACCTAGAGAAATCACATGACTTAGAACCCTAGCCCACCGGCCGATCCCAGAACCAGGCCCCTGCAATCCTGACAAGGTCCTGCCCAACCCCCAGAGCTCTGCCAGGCTTGGCTGAGGTCTTCTGAAATCAGGGGACTTTCTGCAGTTGTAAGGGCCACACTTGGCAAGCAAGCCCTTTGCGGTGTGAGGCTGATGTGCCCTACACACACACACACACGCTCACTGTGCCCCTTACTGTGGGGATCCGTTATCACCTGACTCCTGGGCTGAGTGGATGGCTGGGCCACAGCAGCCCTGCGTTGTGCTTCCTCTCCCTATATACCTCTTCCTGCCTTCCCAGCTGAAGAGGCTGCCCAGCTTGGCAAACATGACTGCAGCACGATACTAACCCAAGAGTGGGGCTGTGTGTGGCTCCTGGGGCACAGAAAGATTGCACTCTGGTCCCTTCACGCACATCCCACTCCTCTGCCTCAGCAGAGGACCAGTTCCCAGCGGGCCAGGCCAGGGAACCCACTGAGCCCAAGGTTCATCTGGCAGCAGGCCTATGTACACAGGGTAGGCAGGGCTGTCTCCGCAGGCAGGCGGCTCCACTCCGGGCTGCACGACCCTGCAGGGCACACGGAGGCCTCTATTCGCAGGCCAGCTTGCTATCGAAGCTGGACAGGGCAATGGCAAAAGCCTGCAGCGCACACAGCGGGTAGTTGTAATCCATGGTGAACACATCCTCTGCTACACGGCCAAACTGCATCACGATGTAGTCCGCTGGGGCCGGCAAGGAGGGGCAGAGAGGCAGAGTAAGGACGGTGGGCATGGGGAAGGACACACACCCAAGTCACAAGAGGGAAGAGATACCAGGGGATCCCAAAGGAGTGAAGACAGTCCAATTGGGAGGGGAGAGGGAGATGGCAGAGCAAGAAAGATGCATACAGATACCAGGATACGGGGGAGAAGCAAGTCCCTTCACAGGGCAGTCCCATCCGAGACTGCTGAGTGTACAGAATCTTGGGGTAGGGCCCCCTAGTCGTTATGGTTAGAAAGTTCTTCACATCTAACCTAAGCCTATAACCGGTGTCTTTAAGCTCTGGCCTATGTGGGCAGGGCTTGGGAGCTGAACCCTGAGCTAAGGGCCCCAGCTATCATGTGCACAGTAATGAGTAAGGGCAGAAACACTCACGGTCATTGCCATGGATGATCTGGAAGTTCTTCACGGAGGCCTGTGTGACGCGCCCGTGGAAATTGAGTACGTAGGACTGCGTATCGTCATTCCAGACAGGCGTCTTGTTTTGCAGCTCAATGATACTCTCTGTGTTCTTATTCTGCCAGCGTGATAGCAGCGTCTCGTGCTCCTGGGAGAGCAGCCTCAGCTGAGCCAGGCCCAAACCCTGGCACCATGACCGCCCCAAAACGGGATCTGCCCAAGGGGGTCCTTAGATGTCCCTAGACCCCCCCCTAGGGCTTCTCACGCTGAGCCTCTTAAACAGACACAGCAGCTGGAGTTGCGTCCTCAGCCGCTCATGCAGAGACTGGGATGTTGGGGAAGGGCTGGGGGCTGGGGGGGTGGTAGAGACTCACGTTGCGGGGCCGGATACAGACTCTCTCGTGAACCATGTTCATGCCTGGGACGATCACAGTCATCTTCCGTGGTCCCTTAAAACCTAAGACGTTTGTCTCCTGGGAAATACAGAGAGTGAGGACTCTACTTACAACTGGAGAGACTGGGAGGAAGGGAACAAAGGTGATGCGCTCGTTCTCACCAGCTCCACTTGAATGTCTAACAGGCATCTCTACACGTGTCCAAAAGGGAGCTCCTGAATCTCTGCCCGACCAGCTCCTCTTACAGCCATCCTCGCTTCAGTTCACAGCAACTCAGTTTTTCCTTTGCTCAGGCAAACAACTTGGGGCCCTCCTTGACCCCACCTTCTAATCCATCAGCAAATGCTGTCAGCTCTACCGTGACATCACATCCAGAATTCAGCCACTGTTCACCATCACCGTGTCTCACGGAGTGAGATCACAGTAATGGACTTATGTGGACTCCTTGTTTCCATCTTAGCCTCCCCCCCTCCCCCCGCAACATCTCTTCACACAGCAGCGAATAGTCCTATTAAGTCAGATCCTTTTCCTCCTTAGTTCATTCAGAGAAAAAGCTGAAGGTCTTACCTCAGCCCGCAAGGCCTCACGTGAAATGGCCCCATCAGCACCTCTTCACCATTGGCCCTCCCCTGTCCTACGAGTCAGGCATCCAGGGCTCGTGCGTGTCCTGTGTTCTCCCAACACCTGCACAGCTGGCTCTCACTTCCTGCTGGGCTTTGCCCAAGTGCTGCCAAAGCGAGGCCCTCCCTGCCATCCTTCCCAAAAGCTCACACACACCTGGATACTTCATAACCCCCTTCCCTACTTTTTTTTCCTTTTTGACATTTATCAGGAACAGATTTTTTGTGCTTATGTGTCTGTTTTATAGCTTGTCTCCCCCACTAAGAGTTTAAGTCCCACAAGGGTATACATTTATGTCTCCATTGTTCATTACTAGATCCTTAGGGCCTCAAACAGTAACTGGAACATGGCTGGGGCTCAGTAAGTATTTGGAGATTCGGGCTGCCTCCCCAGAGTTGACCAGCAGGTGGCACCACAGGCTCACACTAAACAGCTATGGATTCCAATTAGTCTCTGAGGTGCCTATGCCTAGGTTGATAGGGGTAACCTCCCAATCCCTCATTTTAAAATTAGGTGAAATCCCCTGTACTTATATTCCAGTATGGTCATTTATGAGTTGTGTGACACTGGCAAGTGACCCAAACTCTGAGCTTCAGTTTCGTCATCTATATAATAAAATAGGACTGAGCTCTTAGGCTGAGCATTCAGTGAGCTGATTATGCAAAGGGCCTTGTAGCCCCAGCAGGATGCAGGAGGGAGGACTGAAGGAATGCACTGATAAGAATCCAGACCTGCCACCTTCTTTCCAGGAGGCTCCCGGGTTGGGATGCATAGAGCCAGGCCCCGTTCCCATAGCTCTCCAAGGCTGTGGTCTGAGCCCTGAAGACAGGGCCAGGCCCCTGTCCCAGGCAGAGGCCACTCCACAGAAGGCAGCCCACCTCGATGCAGTCTTGTCTACCCACAGAGATAGATGGGATAGCCCACAGATCAGGCAGCAAGTCCTTAGCATCATGTCTAACTTGGGAGACGAGACCAAGGAACCTGGGACTCACGTAGCACACAGCTGCCAACTCCTGACGCAAGGTTCCACCTTCCAAAGTAGATGATGCCTTCTGAGGGTTGACTCCATTGTTATACACGGTGAACTTAGTGCCCATGAGGTTGGACCTGAAGGACAGGCACAATCAGTGCAGGGCCATGCCCCCTCTGCCCCAGTGCAGCCAGCAGCTCCGTCTGTCCTATGAGGAGCTTGCAAAGCATTCTGGGCTGAGCTAGGAGCAGACCTGGGGGCAACCTGCTCACTGAGTCCCTATCTTTGAGGGCGAAAGGCCTGGATTTGCTCTGAGTTGAACCAATCATGTAGTTTCAGTGAGGGAAATTTGGGGAGGTAAATCTGGGTCCCACAGAAGTTTCTCTGGAGGAACAGGATTGCTCCCATCATGGAGGTGAGCACGCAGAATGGCATCTGGCAGCACTGTAGAGGGGCCTTGGCACTGAGCCCTGGGACCCCATGCAGACTGGAGAGCTGACTCCTCTGTCCTGTCCAGCCTGTGAGTCTTGGTCCAGCCCCACCTCCAGCGTGGGCTCCTGACCTCTCAGCTTGATTTGTATTCCCCAAATCTGGCACTCTGTTCCTCGGCAAGCCCTCCTCCTCCCGAGGCTAGTTAGGAGCCTTCCCCCTACCCTGTGGTTGCTCTCTCTTCCCTCAAGGACTCACTCTCAGCCCTGCCCTTGGCACTGACTGTGGTGCCAAGGCAGTTCTTCTGTGGTGGACTGCATCATCAGTGACATCCTGGGGTCTGACCTATCTCTCTTGGTGGGCCTGTGCCCACCTGACCGAGAGCAGCTTAGGGTAGGGCATGTGAGGCCCATCCAAGTCTGGCTCTAGACTGACACAGACCTGAGCCTGTGGTTGGACCCGATGGACAAAGAGGATCCTGGGAGAAGATCTGACCCCTCTGGCCTAGACGTCTAGAGGGACACAAGATGCCCTCTAGGGAGCCTGTCCCCTTCCTGGGGATGTGCTGGTACCGCAATTTTCCGATGTAGCTGTCCCCTCCTCGAGACAAATCTGTTGGGTCCACAGAGATGAGGTAATTGGAAGTTTTACTCTTCTTTCTCTTCCTTCCCGCCAGGAGGAACACCTTGGGGAGTAGAGTAAGGTCACATTTGAGGTCCAGCCTCTGGTCCGCACACAATCATATGCCACTCACACACACGCGTTCAGCTCCTGAACATGATGTGCACTGACACACGTGTGCACTGACCAGGCGCAGGGCTTGTCTCGGGGACTGAAAGGCCAGTGCTGCGTCTGAGGCTTCCAGTCACACTCTGGCCCCCAGGACCTCGGCTGGCCCAGGTGAGGCTGCACGTCCAGGCCAAGCTCACCTTCTTCCCGTCCTCACGGTCCAGGTGCAGGAAGTAGGTGGGGTACATGCCCCGGTCCATCCCCTTCTTGTCCCGCGTGATGCGGCCCTTGATGGTGATGCCCTGGGGGGCTGGCCTCAGTGCAAACTCCTCAAGGTCCTGGACCTCCACATCCACAGAAGGCTCTGGGACTGCCAGGCTGGGGGCTGAGGCGGCCTCCTACCGGGCAGGGCACAGGAAGCAGCCTGAGCCTGGGGGCTCTAAGCAGCTGAAAGTAGGGGTGGGTCTGGGGTCCAGAGCCGCCCCTGCTGTGCCAGAGGTGCTGGGAGACAGGGCCGGGTTCCGGGATGTGGGCTTGGCCTGCTTGGCCTGAGGGTCAGCAGCTAGCTCCCCAGCCCTTCCCCTCCTCAGGAGTCCCTGGGGATGGAGATGGAGGCTCGGGCAGGTTCTCAGAGGTCATCCTGTCCAACTCCAGCTCCCTCCACCCTCCTGGCAGGCTGAGTGGGACGAAGGAAGGGCCCAGGCCAGAGATCTGGGCCCAGCTCCTGGCCCAGGAAAGCCACTCACCATCGTTTCTCCATACTCACTGGCTCTCCGACCTGAATGACCAGCCCTGGGAACACCACCGGCCACCCTCCCACTGGGCCTGAAAGCTCCCCACTCACCCTGATGGACTTCTTGCTAGCTGCGGAGCTGGGCCGGGTGTTGCTGTTTAGCTGGGAGGAGCTGGAGCTGTTCTCGTCCTCGTCCTCCTCCTCATCAAAGCTCATGCTGCTGGAGACGCCTGGGCCGGGCAGAGGAGCGGGAAGAGATGAGTGGTCGTATATACATACCCAGATCAACACCGTTCACAGGCACTGAGTCACCCGTACCTGCCTGCACACACACGCACAGCCGTGTGTGCACATGTGCACGCACATGCACTCCCACACATATATCCATATATACACAAGGACACTCTTGGTTGCATGCTGGGACTGGTCACGATCCTTGGGGTGTGAACCCCCCTCCCCCAGCTTCAGCTCAGTCCCTCCATCAGAGCCCCTCCTCTCTAGCACTTGCAGTGCCTGTCTCCTGTGTAGCAAGGCCTGAGTTGAGCTGACCCTGCTCTGGAAGCCTCCATTTCTGGCCTCAGGCCTAGGAGAGGCCTTGGCTGGCACAGACCATGGAATCTGCCTGGGGAAAGGCTCAGCTCCTTACTCAGCCTGAGGTGCAGGGCCCACCGACGCCTCTCCCCAGCCTGGCTGCGCTCCTCTGTCTGAATGCTTCTCGCCACCCGAAATGCCATCCTTAGCCTCAGATTGCCCCAATAGCCATTTCTCCAGGAAGCTGTCCCTGATCCAGTTCCTCAGAATGCGTGGCACTGCAGGGCTTCCCTCTGCCACCTCGCGCCAGGGGCTCCCTGGGGCAGGGCTCGTGGTGGGAAAGCTATCTGGGCAGCAGGTTCCCTGGGAGGATCTGCGCTGCCTCTCAGCATCCTGACCCTGCCCCCCCCTGGCTCACAGAGAACGTTTTACAAAAGGAGGCTTTTCCCAAAGGAACCAAAGGGAAAGGAAATCTATCCCCAAACCTGGGCCTCCCTGGGGGCAGGTGATATGGGTGGAGCAGACAGGGCTGGACTATGGGCCAGCTGGTTACCCCAGTTCAAACTGCTTTCCCTTAACTTGACCTTATCAGGGGGCCCTGCCCAAGTTTCTCACTGGTCTCCCAAATATGGCCCCCACCGAGATCTGGGGGGGCTGGAACAGACACAGGAGGGCCATGCTCCCCTAGAAGGGTGCATCTGAGAACCTTGGACTGAGCTTTGGGGGTGACACTGGACCCCCATGGGGCTCACCCTTCCTCTGCAGCGTGGCACGGAGGTCCTGCACGCTGGGCGGTGCGCCCCCACCAGCTGCCGTCTCCCCTGCGTCCTGGGCGTGGTCCGACTGGCCCACAGTCAGGATCTGCACTGGGCCTCGGGCCTCAGACTTGTCTTCTGCCAGAGCTGCTGGCCCGCTGGTGCCTGCAGGCCACGGACACGCCTGAGTCCCGTCTGGGGGTGGGGTGGGGGAGGGGAGAGCTGGATCCTCAGATTTCCATGAAGTGGGTGAGGGATGAGTAGGGGGACCATTTGCAAAACTGACTTTTAAAGAACTAATGATTGCTATCAGCCTCTTAATGATTGGTAAACTATGAAGGGACACGGGCTCGGTTTCTTCTGCTGTTCCCCGAATTAGTTGCCGAGGGTTGGTTTGAAATGCCTCAAAATCCCTAGGCAGACGGCAGCCACCTACGAAACCAACTACACAGTGAAAAAGACAAAATGGAGAACAAGGATCCGTCCAGCTCACAGCCTAGGTCACCACTCATTCACGTATGCAGCCAGTTACAAGCTATCAGTGCTGATGTTCACTCTCTCATAGACACACACACACACACACACACTAAACACATCATTCAAAACATGGGCCCCTTGAGAAAGACTGAGCTTGGCCTACACTTGCTTCCCAAATGGAGGATCTCCCATCCTACGCCAACCTTCCTGCCCAAGTTGCCACAGCTTCAGTAACAGAAGCAAGGCCTGGTCCACACTCTGCCCAGCTGGGCTATGCCCCAAAATGCAGCAGTCAGCTCCAGAAGCCTATGGACCCTGCACCCCACTGTCCAACCACAACCAGAAGCCTGGAAGTCAGTGCCCATGAGCAAGGGCTGAGGAAACGGGGTGGAGCCAGCAGAAACAGGACTCGGGGCAGGGGCCACCATAACTGCCCTTGATCTTGGGGGATCTTTTCTGGGGGGGAGAGGAGCAGAGGAAACAGACTGGTCTGTGGGTCCACAGGGTAGAATTGGGACTAGAGAGCTGCAGAAGCCCACATGATGGCTGGGAGGCCACACAAGGATGAAGCAGGCTGCCTGAGATGCCGTGAGCCCAAAGGGAGGGAGAGGCTGCTCAGGCTGGGCAGGAGGCAGGACTTCCTGGGCCACAGCTGAGCTAGATTTCACTTCCTGGCAGTATGGAGGGCCTGCCCACACCCGCAGGCCAGCCCAGGTACCCCATGAGCTAGAGGAGGCCTGTGAGCCAGCTGCGTGGGGTCCCGAGCGCCCTTTTGTGCCTTCAGTGAGGCCTCCTACCCTGTCCCTGACCTCCGAGTCTGGAGGATAAGCCTCCCCCAAACCTACAGTGGGGGCCAGGCCTCCTGCGGAGGGCTGTGGGGAGGCAAGCCAACCTCTGTGCTTCCCCTTCTTCTGTTTCCTCGAGGCCCTGCCCTGGCCCCCTGCTGCGGCCGCTGCCTTGGTTCTCTTGGCTGAGGCTGGTGCTGTTGGGTGGGCAGATCCCAGCTGCACAGTGGCAAGTGAGTCAGCCTCTTGAACTGCTTAGGAGAGAGCCAGAGAGCAAGAGTGAGCAAGAAAGAGTGAGGGAGAAAGAGAGAGAGAAGAGAGGAGGGAGGGAGAGAGAGAGAGAAAGATGGGTACTAGGTGAGACCAGAGCTCCAACTTGGACACACTTCCCAGCACATTTTCCAGGTCCCTCACCAGCACCCACGTCCCGCCAGGGCCTCTGTACCACCCATATCTACCAGGTAAGGGTGCCCAGGGCAGGCTGAGCTGGAAAGAAGCATTACCCCCAGCCCAGTGTGATAAAGCCAAAAGCCTGACCCACACCATGATCAACTAAGAGAAGTCTGAGCTCTGGGCCAGCCAACCGTTTGAGCCTGGGTGGCGGGAGGGAGAGTGTCTGGAGGAATGTGGGTCATCAAAGATGGCGGATGAAGACAGAAAAGACTGCATCTCGGGAGAGCTAGGGCAAGCACTCCAGGGAGCCTGCACTGCCCCTCATGGGATCAGCCCGTTGGGGGCCTCGGGTGCCAGAGCACCCTGAGGCAGGAGAGTCATTCTGGGACACTAGCAGCTGACACTAACAGGTCTCAGAAGGGTCACTGCTGGGTGGCTTCTGAATTCTCTACATGTCAGAACTCCAGTCTGCTCAAAGTCTTAGAATGATTTCACTGAAGATGAAGACCAACATTCTCCTGCAAGTCTGGCTCCTCCATCTCCTTCCGCTTGGCCTTGGCCTTGGCCTAACTGCACACTCCTCATTTCACACACTGCACCACTCCCCGCACTTTCCAGTGCCAGCCACACCATTCTCTTTCAGTGCCTTTGTACATCCTGGACCCCCTCTTGACAGGGGCCTTGCTGTCTCCCTGCCTGGACTGCCCTCATGACTGCCGAGCCCGCCCACTAACACCTACTCACTGCAAATGCCAGCTCCTCAAGGCGGCCTTCCCTGACCCCTAATCTGGAGCAGGCTTTCTGCCATTCATGCACAGAGCCTGGCGACTTTCCTCAGGGCACACCTGTGACCATCTGTTTTAACTCTCTCCCCTTTTAGACCATAAGGTCCACAAGAGAACAGTGACCACACCCACTTGTGCTCACCCTGGACCCCCAGCCTCTAATACAGAAGCTGGCACAAAATAGGCCCTCAATACATATTTGAGAACCAGATAAATACATAACATGAATGAGCATGGTCGGTAGGTCAAAATCTGTTTACCAGGATAAACCATCAGTTCTGATTTTGGTCCAACTCCCTTATCTTCCTCTGGGAGTGATCCCCTTGTATAATATTTAACAGCAAGAGCCAGCAGAGGGCAGAGCAGAAGGCAGCTCATGCTGCAGGTGGGGGTGGGGCGCTCTGGGTAACACCAATCCGGGGTGGGTCAGCCACCTGCGCAGCAGCCTCCTCAGGGACTGTCCACCTCTCAAAGCCAGGCAAGGCTGGGACCCTAGAGGTGCAGCATGACCCAGCCTGCTCTGGAGTCTCAGCAGGGAATAGCATGCAGGTGACTGGACCTTGGAACACACCATGGCTGCTTCAGTGTTCAAAGCCCTGAGAGAGGATTTTCCTCACAGAGGAGGAAACAGGCCCAGAGCGTGTAAGTGATTTGCCTAGTCACAAGTGAGCAGGTGACAGCTAGTGGCCTGACCAGAAACTCTATCTTCTGACTCTGGATGTTTCTGCAGGCCTGGCACTGCCCTGGCACATAGTTCAGTACAAGCAACACCTGCCAAAATGACCGCACATCGGTGACTTGAGAGACTCTCTCAAAGTCTCACAATGCTGGCCTCTGGCCCAAACTGGCAGGGCCCGAAGTCCCAGGAGCAGGCTCCCAGCCCACATGCAGCCTCCAACAGTCAGGTGCCAGGCTGGGCAGAGCAGGGGCTGTGATGCCCACACAGCAGCAGGCCGGGCTCCACAGATGCCCAACAGGCAGGCTTTCTCTGCAGGGCACCGCCACCATGCTTGGGACGGTGCTCACAGAGGAAGTGTGAGGAGGGGGCTGCCAGGAGAGGGTGGGGCCAGGGGCCAATTCTGTGTGGAGCAGCTGGGACTGCCCGTCCGAGACAGCAGTGCTGGGCAGAGTGCTGTGTCCCCCTCCTCCGAAGGGCCTCTCAGGTAGAGTACAGACATACCAGCTGTGGCCCTGGATACAGAACTGAAGCCCACACAGGGGAATTATTACAATGACGGCGCTTCCTATCACGGAGGTGACAATATGGAGGAAAGGCCGTTTGGAGTCCGGCAGGCCTGGCTTCAACGCCTCACCCAGATGCTCACTAGCAGTATACCATGGGAAGTCGGTGACCCCTCCGAGCCCATCGCCTTATCGATCACGTGGGCGTCATGAGCTATGGTGAGGAATAAATGATATTCCTCACCTAGCACTGTGCTTAGCCACTGGCAAATGCTCACAGACAGGCTTTGTTATTAGACATAAGTGGGTTTTCAGTGGGACGAGGGCACACAGAGGGCACCAAGCTTGTCCAGTGTGCTGTGCCAAGCCTGGGCACTAGGTTTGCCCTCCGAGGCACAGACAAGAGGACCCAGTGAGCTAAGGGCTGGTTAGTGGAACCTGAAACACTATGGGGCAGGGGTGTGGGAGGGCGCGGCAGTTAGCCCTGAGGTGAGGCGAAAACCAGTAGCTGGACGTGGCTGGAGGCTGCAGGCTCTGAGGAAGCCCAGAAGGACGCGAGCACCATGGCTACTAAGGTGCCTTCCAACTGCAAAAGCCAGATGCCTGCCACCTTCTTAGAGACACCGCCTGATAGAGGAGCCTCCGGGATCACCTGCACCAGCAGAGGGCAGTGGGGACTGAGTCTGAGTCCCTCCTTTGGGATCAGAGAGACCAACCTTCAGTCTGGCCTGGGGTCCTCATAACCTAACCTAAGCAGGAGGGAGGGTCTTGAGCTTAGGGAGGCAGTGGAGCCACACACACCATATCCCCAGGATAAGCTGCAAACAATTCCCCACCAAGTGGGCTCTGCTGAGAAGCAGTGTGCAAAGATGGGCGAGCTGGAGGCTGCTGGCCCCCGTGGCTCTGTGCAGGGGCCTGCACGTGAGAAGCCAGGTAGACTGAGAGGGCAGGGAGCCCAGGGAGAGGAGGCAATAGGTGTCCATCACAGGAGACGCTAGCTGGTGTGAGGTGTTGAGATGGACTCCTCTCAGGAGGCCTCCTGCTCTCAGTGAAACGCTCCAGAAACCTGGACTTTTGACCTCGCAGACCCATCGTTTTAGCTTCTGGCCGTGGCACCTGACCCTGGAGACGACATCCTGAGCATATGCAGGAGCTCAAGGCTCCAGGTCTCCTTTCTCCGCCCGCCGCACTCAGCTGTCCACCTGGGCTGGGAGCCACACTCAGCCTGGGCGCATCCTGACAGATGACCCCCTTGCCTACCCAGTGGAGCCACCGCACAGGGTCCTCCCCAGGTTGGCTGTCCCACGTTTTCCTAAGGGCAGGATGTACCTTGATAGCTGGTGCTGCCACTGCTGCTGAGGTAGGACTCCACCAGGGGGGCCTGCTCCTCTGACTGCTGGGCACGCCGGCTGCGGGGCCTCCCGTCGGCATTGGCCTGCACCATCAGGGGCTCCTGGCGCTTCTTCTTCTGCTTTTGCTCCAGCAGAGCCCGCTACAGAGGCACCGGACAGGCGCAGAGGTTGGCATGCTAGAGAGGGCAGCCCACTGCTTCCGCCCACAGGAGGGCTCCCGGACTGGGAGTGGAGACGAAGGCCCTGCTTGCCCAGCTCCCTTCTAGAGGTCGCCATGGCGTCCGAAGCACACTCAGGACCAAGGCCTCATGTCCTTGGTGCCCCCAGACTTGGGGTCCAGGAAAAGAAGGCAAAACTTGGCCCAGGTAACTACTCTGGCAGGGTCACAGCACATCCAGCTCTCCCAGGGCAGTCACCCCAGCTGCCTGCTCGGTAGAAGCCCCATGCACTGTGCAGAGTCAACACTTAGCTGGTAAAGGCGAGAATTGCTTCTGGAGGGTCCCCTCTCCCCACTAGTCAGGATTACCCCAGTAAGGGGACAGCCCTCCCGCTCTTTCTCCTCCACAGCACATCTGGCCCAGACTCTGGCAAGGACGGCGAGTGCTGACTACCCTTCCCGTGGCCCCAGCCTCACTCACCTGCCGGTCAAGCTTCTGCTGCCTCAGGTTGCTGCCCTCATCATCTAAGACACTGCAGAGGGAGAGAGGGGTATTCAGGACCTGCCCGCGAGGTGCCAGGAGATAGCCCAGAGCCCACCCAGCACATCTGGGCTCTTTAAGCCCCTCCCATCATGGCTGCTGGGCGCATGGGAGAGAGGAAGGGGAAGGCTACTCTCTGGGAGGCTACTCTCTGGGAACCAGCTTGAGACAAAAAGGCTTGAGTCATATTTCTGCCACTCTGGGAGCTTATCTTCTGCTGGGATTCCTGCAGCCGCAAGGACTTCCCAGTCAGCCTGGCCCCAGTAAGTATAGGAGACTTTCCTCTTGGGCCCGTGAGCAGGGCCTGACTGAGTTCCAGGGGAACCTGTCTAGAGGCATAGGGCACAAGCCGGGCCCAAGGCCAGGCTTCAGACCAGAGAGCTGTCCCCTCCAGCTGCCTCTCAGGTCTCAACAGCTCTTCCCTCATCTTCCCATCCTTTCTGGAGGAGGCTGGGTCCTCTGGGGCAGACCCTCTCCCCATCAGTTCAAAGCAAACTCCTGGCTCTCTACATGGCACAGTGGAGGTGCTGACGCTGCTCCTGGAGGCTGAGTGTCCCTTCATGTAGGAGAGTGAGGCTACGAGTCCAACCAGTCCCTCAGGGCAGGGCTAGGGCTGAGTGGGGATGCCTGCAGGGAGGACACAGCGCATCAACACACGGTCCAGCAACCAGCCACGGGGCCCTTCCCTGGCCACAGACATGGCGCCAGACAGCACCAGGGCATCCAATCCTCAAGTCCCTAAGGTCTTGGGACAGGCAGCAGCATCTCACACTGCCTCTGCCTCCCCAGGAAGGCAGAGCATAAGTAGGGAGCTGGTAACTCAAACCACTTAGCTTTCTTTCTGGTCTAAGACATATGCATGAGACCTAGGCTCAAAAGTCTATAAGACCCAAGGTCAGGACAGCCACATGAGGTGAGGTTGGAGCCTGAGGACCTGAGCTCTGGGAAATCCCAGGCCACCCTGGCTCAGGTATGCTGGAGCCTGCCCCCGAACCAGATCTGTGTGTGGGTACAGGGACTGACATATCCGAGTACATGAGGTTTGTGCGTGAGGCTCTAAGTATATCTTGTGCACAAGCACACATCAGGTATCCAAATGTGTGAGTGCATCTACCTATGTAAGCACACAACAGGGTATACATATGTGCAAACACCTGTGTAAGGGGGGGGCTGCTTGTGTGCAGGTAAGTACAATGTGCATGGAAGGGGGAAAGATGAGGTCAAATCACCCAAGGATAACATGGAGCCATTTCCACTTCCTCCTGACAGCAGGTGTAGCCCTTCTAGCTGGAACAATCATTAACTTGAAATGTCCCTTCAGCTCATCCATACTACTTGTGTCTCTGTGTGCGGGGGGATCCAGTCAGAGAGTGGCAGGCGGTCCATGGATCACAGACAGCCCACCTCCCTGGCCACAACCAATGAGGATTCTGCATATTTTTAACTGGCAGCTGTCATATAACTACCTGCCACCTGGGAAAGCCTTTCCTGATACCCACAGGCTGCTCTGCACTCAGTGGCCCTGATTGTGATCTGGGGCCACACACAGAACAGCCTCATTCACCAAACCCTCAGCTGCCAGCGCACAGGAAAAAACACTACTCAACAGACATGCTTCTAAGTCAGACCTCAGTCTTCCTAAAATTGCCCATGTGCCTAAGAGCACACAGCTGCGCTGGGATTCCCTGAGGGCATTGCCAGGATCAGAGGACAGGGAACAGCTCCTAAAAACTTGAGCTGGCTGGGACGGTGAGTGTCCCGTCACAGAAGGCATGCACCACAGGCCGGAGGACGGCAGCAGGACTGTTGAAGGAAGGGGCAAGGTACTAGAGTGAGCAGGGTGCCCAGGGGCCCTGCCAGGTCTCAGAGGCTACCACTCTTCCACTTGTCTTTCCGCTGAAGTCAATGGCCTGACTGCGTAACACAAGGGCAGAGCGTCTGTGCACACACTGCCTTCGCAGGGTCAGTCCCCAACACCGCTGTCCACAGAGGCCTGCCGTGTGAGCAGTGCATACTAACTCAGGATTTCCAGGACACGGATGAAAACTGCAGTCTGGGCTCTTTGTAGCACCTGGCTGACAGGAGCAGTGGGGCCTGAGATCCAACTGCTCTGCTCTGTGCCTGGGCACGCATAGGGCAGCCTGTAACCTCAGTCACGTGCTGGTGGCCTGGTCACAGGAGCCCATGTCACCTCCACAAGACAGGGCCGGCTCCCCTCTCTGCCAGCAGAAGCCGTTTCGTGGCTGACTGGGAGGATGCACGCCACCTGCACTTCCACAGGGCAGGGCCAGGAGCAGTCACCTGGCTCGTCCTTGGCACTGGGCTTGGCTGAGCAGGGAAAAGATGACTTCCATCGTGCATGGGTCATTTGGAAAAGAGGACATCCCGCTGAGAGGTAAGCTCACATTAGCAAAGTCACCTCTGGAACTGCTGGGTCACAGTGGCTACTCGACTGAGGAAAGGTGGTTCCAGCCATGGTGGACTCACTGCCCAGTGCTCCCCTAATATCCTTATCGGTGCATTGGGTGGGGGGGGGTCACTTTCCCACCACAGGTCACTGCCGTGGACTTTCCAGTTACGCCTGGGGAAGGAGGCTGCTGTCCATGAAAACATTACTTCCTCTTCCTGTGCCCACCTCCATTCCATGATGGAGGATAATGATAAAGAGCCACAGGCTTTAATAACACTGGTCCCCAGGTAAGATTATAGGTAGGCCAGACTTAACCACTGGCCTTCAGAGAAGGGTGGATGAATACAAGGACGGACTTCTAAAGAATTCCAGAAACTCAGACACCCTGCAAGTGCCCAAGGCGACCACCACCTTGCTCCCCGCCAGGCATGGCAGTGCAGCGGGAGGAGGGGCGTGCAGGGCTGGGGGTGGCAACTGGGGGGAGGCAACATGTGCCTGGTGAATAAGAACATGTCTGGGTGAGCAAGACCACCCAGGAGGCTTACAGAAATCCACCTAAATGTGGCAGCTCAGCAGGCACAGCAGTGCAGTAACGCCGGTTCCTGGTACAGCAGGATGTTTCTAGGAGAGCCACAAAGGTCTGAGGTGGACCACAGTCACCGGGCGGGGCAAGCTTGTACTGGGTGGGTGTTTTTGCACCACAAGCATGTGTCTGGAGCACACAGCATCTGTCCCTGGTGAATAACAAAGAATCCCCTGCAAACAGCCCGGTGTTGTGGAGAACAATGACAACCACCATGGCTGTCTCCAGGGAGAGCAGAACTGAAGCTCCTCGCACCTCCCCAGCAGCCCAGCCCCCTCGCCCCCACCAGATGGCCCTGCCTTCTCAGCTCCCACTCCAGCACCTTTCCCAGGCATCTTCCTTGCTCACCAACGCGCCCCACCGGCCTCTTTACGACGGGCACTGTTCTAGGCAGCATGAAACGATAACCATGAGGAGACAGTAATGGCTTTTTAATGACTCGGGCTCCAATTATGGAATCACTGCCAAGCCCAGGCTGCCAGCTGCAGCCCCGCCAGGAGACTCGGACAGGAGACAGGGCACTGACGGATGGTCTTCCAGCTGACCCTGGTGTCTCCTTCATTACAGTCACCTTCTGCTGGGGGCCCAGGAAAGCACCGGCCACTGGCTCATGAGGATCAGAGAAACATCCACTCTGCCCAGGGCCAACGAGGTGGCCCTTTCACCTTCCAGGGGAGCAGCCCCTCCACATCCCCTTGCTTCCCTGGGGAGCAAACAGATATCTGAGGAAGGAACATGCCTGACAACAAATGAGGGCGGGGGCACTTCTCACGCGGCTGCAAAAGCCTGACACAGCCTCCCTGTTCCCAGACCCGCCCTACATGCTCCAGCAAATCCACCTGAGCTGACCAGAGGCCTGGGGCCAGGCCAACCTAGGGACACACCCACTCCACACGCTCACTTCACCCTCCCCCTTCCTGCCCTCATTCCTGCCCACTAGGCATGGTGGAGGCTGCCCCTACTGGACCCAGAAAATCAGGGAAGTAGGCTGTCAGGGGCGGAAAGACCCCCCAGGGTGCCCGGCTGCAACCCCTCTGCCCAATGCCAGACCCCCTTCCCTCAGCACATCCGGGCTTCCCTTGCCAAGGACAGCTTGGAACACTGTGGAAACACAGTGGGGGTGGGAGCGAGGGTGGGAGCGGGGGCAGCTCCATGAGGAAGAGGACCATGCTGCTCACAAGAATCCCAGCCTCCCATGATGAGGCATCTCCATCCCAAGCTTACCAGGTGCATTAAAGCTGCTTAGGGACACTCAGCCCTGCCTTGGTCATTCAGAATTGTTGGGTAGGATGCCCAGACTCAATCCCCCACCTCACTCTCTCTTTTAAGGCAAGTGACACAGGTGATTCTAATGCTCGGCCATGGGGACCGTGAGCCAAAGCTGGGGATCTGTAAAGAACAAAGGAAATAGGGCAGTTGCCGTAAGGCTGGAAGTATGCAAATGCAGCCTTATGTTCAGATGGGGGAGGAAATTATAGTCTGCAGATCAGTGAGTCAACATAAGCCCCAGCTAAGACTGTGGAAGGGGTTAACTGAATAACGGGGGCGGGGGCGGAGGGGTGGAGGAGGCGCGTGGTTAGGTGACCACTAGGAGCAAGTCCAGTTCCTGGCAAGTCAGGACACATGTCCTCAGGCTTATCAGAAAAATCAGCAGGACAGTGCAGCCAGGATTCCACATGGAACCCCAGGGACCGGCGACGATTACTGGTGGGTAAGATGAGGCAAGGTCCTAGTAAGTGGCATGCTAGTCCAACCAGACAGACATTCCAAGGTTTTTGCAACAATGGGTCATACCATAGTCAAAGGCTTTTAGCATCTTGCTTCTCTTGGTTAGCGTGTTTTTCGGGGACCCAAAGACAAGGCAGGCCTCTCAGCAGGCTTACAAGTAATGCAAAGTAGAAGGGACACTCAACTGGTCACTAAGATAGTAGAACTCAGAGGACCTTGAAAAGCTAGCAAAGAGGAAACCTAACAGGAGAAGAAGGTCAAGTCTCCTATTTGGGTCCCAACACCCAGATCTTGCCCACACAGGCAGGATGGAGGACTTGACATCAACCCGACGAAAGGCTTTGGGGTTTTGTTTAGAGGCCTCGAGGAGACTGGTCAGTGAGTTCAAGCCATCCCATGGGACGGGGGAGGGCTCAAGGGCTGCAACAGGAACAGGGTCCAGAGCGAGGAAACAGCAGCCTTGCTCTGCTCGGTGCTGGACAGGCCACACCTGGGACAGTACATGCGGCTCCAGGACCCATGCTGGAAGCAGGCAGAGACCCCTGAGGGCATCCACAGGGTCTCCGTCCCTGAATTGTCACTATCGACCTAGTGTTTCCTGTGCTCCTTCACCCCAGTCAGCAGCATGCAGACAGCCCAAGGGGGTGTGGCGGGGGGAGTGGAGAGAGTCCCTGTGGATCCAGTAGCAGAAGTTCTGCTCCTCCTCCCTGTCGCCAGGTGAAGCGGTGGCCACGGTGTCTGGGGTACCTCTGAAGTTCCCCCAGAGGCAGAAATGCAAAAGTCAAGAGTCTTGCTTAACCAAGTCATTTTGCTCCCCAGAAAGCAGAGTAAAAAAAGTGACGGGAAGATCCCAACAAGGGCCAAGAGGAGGGGAGCCCAGAGACATGCTTAGGCTCACCCCCAGGAAGACATTTCTAAGGGTCACAGCCGGTATCTGATGGAAGGCTGTTCGCAGGGATGCCAGGGAGCATTCACACAGGACTCCATGGCCTGTAAGGGCCCTTCCAGCCTGAGACCCTCGCTCTGTGACCCAGAGACTCCAGGAAGCCCCACTGTGAAGAGAGAGTGTTACATCCTCAGGTGTACTGAGAACCTGGTGTGGGGCCAGGAAAGCCAGGAAGTCCTAAAAGCTGCCTGGGGATGCCACTTTGATTCAAAGTAGTGGACCTCTTGTTTATGCTGGGTCATGTAGGCACACAGCCAAGCTCCAGATGAGGTCCCTGCTCTCCAGGAGTTCATGGCCTGGTGAGGGAGACATGGCGGCAGGACCATGCAGACAGCACTAGGGACAGGGCTGGCCACCACTCCCACCTAGCACGGCCCTTCTTGACTTTCAGTGTTCTCCCTACAACTCATCAAAGGTTGTAAGGTCATGAACGAGGGGCATTTAACACTCCTGAAGAACAGGGGTGAAGAGAATACGGCAGAAATGGAATTAGTTGTAATAATAGAAAAAAACGAAAGGTAAAAATCACTCCAACTATGAAATTTTATAAACTAAATGGCTCCCTTCTAAGTCAGACTGTGAGATTAATATGCGATCATTATAAACTGAGCTATAATTACCCTTAAGAAGATTATCAACAATTGTCATTGCTTCAAAGACAATGAGCCAGGCCCAGGGAACACAGGTGCAATCATCACAGAGGGAGAAGAAACGCCACCAGCAAGAGCTAACAAGAACTCCATTGACCTCTTGCTCCCAAACCAAATGACACATTGCAGTTGGCATGCTGCGACATTAGAGAGACTCCATACCAAAGCACGTGCCCACGTGCCCATCCCCCTCATCTGCAAGTAAACTGCCTTCCTGCCTTCTGCCCCCGTTTTCTCTGTGATACAATAGGCATGTGGCTGTGACTGCAATTAGCAGTCCAGTGACTGCAAGAGGCAATGTGCTTCCCCTCCTCTCAGCCCAGGTCTCCCCATTCCAGAAGCTGACACCCCAAGTCTGGTGCTTTCCCCGGCTCAGTGCATACTCAGAAAGACCCCAGTGAGGCAGAAGAGATCCTGGCAACTTCTGACTACAGCCTGCCCCCAGCTATACACCTACCCTCCCTGCCACAGAGCAAGAAGGCAGGGCGACAGAGCAATGGGACAGCAAGCAGGGCAGGGCCACAGGGCTAGGCTTCCAGGGTGGCAGGATTCTGTACTCCAGGTGGAGCATGTGAGCCCAAGAAAGGAATGGGGGTATGGGGGTGGGGGTGGGCCTGGGCCGAGCAGGTGCCAAATCACACCTTGCACAATGCCAGTACCCTGGGCACGCACTGGAGGACAGAGCCATTTCCCAGAGGCAGGCTTAAGTCTCCCCAATTAGAGGCAGACTTTTTCTAAGACTCGTGCAATCACTCGACAAGTTGCTTTGGTCCTTGGCTCCTGGGAGAGGCTTCCTTGAACCATAAACCAGCTTGGCCCCCAGTCTGCGAAATCCTAAACACGCCATCATATCCACAGACACAAGTGCTGCCTTGTCCCTCCCTCCAAAGTTAGTCTGTGGCCACCACCCTGCCACGTGCATCCCCATACAAGTACTTCCACAGCACCAGAGGCCACTCAGCCCACAGGCACTATCCAGGCACCTCTGCTGGGTAGCAAGAAAAGGCCAGCAGGACTTTGTGGGGCTGTACTGCCTTCTAGAAGGTCATCTCACATGTGTCAAGAAAGCCAAGACGCTCCAGAAACTACCTGTGCCCCCAGCGTAGATGCCCTGTGCGGGGTGACAGCTCTTTTGAGTCAGCCCAGCTCCAGTCCCCTGATGGAAATATCTCCCTGGTCTATGTGAGACTCTGAAGTGTGACTGCATTATGTCTGCAGGAAACCCTATGGGTGACTTGTGTGTGCATGTTTGTAGTGTGCATGTGTGTTGGCAGGAAGGGCACCTCCAAATTCTAACCTGGAAAGCTCTGACGCCCCCAAAGGAGCCAAGACAACAATTCTCAAGAGAAACCCTGAATCCCCAGGCCAGTGACAGGTGCTTATTTGCAGAAAGGTCAACTTTAATAAGCCTCAGGCGGTTTCAGCTGGTTTCCATTCTGGAGGCTGTCTGGACAGACTCATAGAAGAGCTCTGTCCGAATTATTTTCTATCAGTGACTGGAATCAGGTCCTTTCTCAAATGCAGACTCTGTTGCAAGATGGATCCTGAAGGTCTGTTCCTACCACCCACAGGCATGTGTACCTGGACCGGGAAGAACATAGTGGACCCTAGAAGTCTGGGACCCTTTTTACACACATGTCTCTCTGGGAGACCTAGAGACAGCCCTGTAGCCCATGGCAACCAAGGAGCCAATGGTGGCCAAGAATCTGATGCTGCCATGGCAATGAGCTCCTTTCCAGTGGTAATGGAGGAATGGGGTAGGGTGGGTGGGGAAAGGCCTGCATTAATGTGAAGCCCCAGAGACCCCTCTCCCACCTGACCTCCACATAGGTGGGAAAGCCCAGCTCTCCTTGGGACAGACGGTGACATTTGGGAACACAGGGTGGCTGTGCTGCCCTTAGTGTGCCTGAATTCTTGAGTGCTCCTGCGCATGTATAGGCAGTTCTAGGTATTGTGAGTTGGTGTGTGTCCAGGTGTAGGTCAGTTACCAAGTGGATTTCTGAGTCTCTGAAAGATATGAGTAGTACTTATGAGTGGGTAGTAGGTGTCAGGTATTCTCCAAATACATGCTGTGTATGTGCACAGATATGTAGCATTGCACCTGTGTGAGTGTGTGTGTGTGTGTGGGGGGGCTACATGGGGCTACATGGTGCATGCATATATGAGACGCCTGTGCTTTTGATTCAGAATAACTGTCTCCAGGAATTCTCGCTTTGAGTATGTGAACCGAGCAGCAGGAGCGTCTTTGACCCAGTGCGCGGACGTCCTGTGGGTGCATGCCTGCAGATCATGCGTGTGCGCGCGGCTATATTGGCCATACTGCCATGTGACCCAGGCTGCTGGGCCTAGGAGGGGGCTCACAGCAGCGTACGCTCCCTCACCAGGCGGCCACATGGAGCTGCCAGACCCAATTTTAAAGCCCACGCAGGCCGAGAGCACTGCCCCCTTCCAGCAAACCCGACTGTTGAGAGGTAGAGCAGGGCGAGCGGAGTCAGTCCTCCGGGGCCTCCAAAGTTGAGATGGGAAGGACCAGAGCCTCCAACCCACCCCCCGGGGGTTGGGCTACATGGGGAGGGTATAGGTGCCCCAGCCCGGTGTTTCCAGCCAGCCCCCGGCCTAGTGCCCTCGACCCTACCCCACGCCCTCAGCTTTGAAAGGTGGTGGGCCGCGCCCCCGAGTTGAAGAGAAGTGGGGGTGGGGGGCACCGACCGGCGTCCGCATACCTGTAGGGAATCCAGTCGGAATGCGGCTTGGAAGTCATGTCTCTCAGGGGCGGGGCGGCGGCTGCGGCTCCGGAGGCCGGGGCCCGCGGGGGCCGGCGCGGGGGCCCTGCTCAGCTCCCGGGCCGCCAAGGGCTGCATCCTCCCGGGCCGGGGCGCTGGGCCCCACCAAGGCCCGCGCTGCACGCCAGGGCCCCCGCCGCCTGCTCGGCGAGCGGCTGCCGGCGCGGTACGATGGGAGAAGCGCTGGAGAGCGCCCGGCCCGCCGTTGGCCGGAGGGCGGCGTGCGCGCGCGTGGAGGACGGAGAGGTGGGCCCCGCCGCCTTGCGCGGCTTAGCCGGGTTCAGCCAGCACCGAGGATCCGAGCGCAGCTTCGCTGCGGCGCCCGCCCCTCTTCCCTTGCCCCGCCCCAGCGGAGACCCCACCCCCAAGCCGGCTGGGTGTCCCCCAAAGCTCCAGCCCCCTTCCCGAAACCGCCCGGATCCAGGCTCCACACACGTGACTGCGCCGGACCTCGCGCCGGCGCCCACCTTGCCACTGGGGGGCAGCTCCCCCAACCTCCGAGCCTCAGTTCCTTCCTCTGCGAAACAGGGATGATTCTAACACCTACCTACCTACCTACCTACCTACCTACCTACCTACCTCCCTCCTTGAAGGGATGGGAAACCGCTGCTCAGATTGGGGGAGGGGAGAGGGAGAAATGGGGTATGGGAGCCGGTTGTGCGGGAAGGGGGTGATGCCAGCAGACACCGAAAGAGGCCCCGCGGAACCTTCAGGTCCTAAGCATGGAAGCTTGCCTTCCCTCCTCTCAGTCGCTTCTCAGCCCCAGGTTCTCACTCCCCACCAGGGAACCGTCTTCTTCAGTTTTAGTAAAAGAGGTGTTGCCTCACAGCGGAGGAGTCCTTCCCGTGTCTAAGCTATAGCAGTCAAGGAAAGGATAACACTTACTGTCTATAACATTCCCGGCCCTTATAAAGTTATATTATTTAATCTCCACAACAGCCTTGAGAAGCAAGTACTTATCTCTAGTTCCCAGAGAATAAAGCCTTAGGAATGCTAAGAGGCCTAAGGACATAAAGCTAGGAAGCTGATGGAGCTGAAATGGAACCAGGGTCTCTCTCCTCCAAAGCCCTTTTTAGGGGCCATAATTAAAAGGAGCAAAAACCTCCCAACAAAGTCTCCAAGTGCTGAGGAGGTCCTAGCTGTGACCGGCACCAACTTTAAAACGTTAAAGCAAGGCATGGGATGTTGAGGTGAAGGGCAGAGAATCCAAGGGGCATGGGAGTTTGGGTATGGAAGCTCGGAGAAGTCAGGTGATCAGGGAGGGGTCTACTGCCATGCAGTCTCCACATTACATGTAGGCGTCCTCATGTGCACCCTGGATTCAACAGCACCCCCCTACCCCAACAATACCAGAAGAGTGTTCATGTGGGGTTCCTCTGGTGCTAAAAAGGCCATTATGACTGCATGACTGGGTGGGAGAAGGTGTGAGAACAGCCAGCTGGCCTGAGGGCCACATCCTGCTGCCCTGGGTCCACAGCCAGGACTCCACCCAGGACTCACCCACCATTTCAGCCTTGCCTTTAACTGTAAAAACAATAACCAAGATATCTGGAGCATTTGCTGAGCATCAATCAGGAGTGGAGTTAGGTGTATCTATATACTTAACTCATTTCATCCTCACAACCACCCTAGGGGGTAGGTGCTATTATTATACCTATTTTACAGCAGAAGAAAGTGAGGCACAGAGAAGGCAAAGATCTTGCCCAAAGCCACAAAGCTGGACAATGGTGAAGCTAGGATTCACACACAAGCGGTCTGGGTCCAGAGACCCTGCCCATAGCCTCTTTCCTGCCTATCACAGTTCATGCAGTGCACATGCGCGCACAAACACCCAGCCTGTCGCTCCGAACTTCCACAGTGCAGGACAGATCCATCAGATCCATCTCTGTCTAGTACAGCATCGACAGTCTCTGAAGACTGTGACTTCTGATTATTTCAACCTCCAAGAGCTATCACTGTCGCTGAGGACAGAGAGCAGACAAAATAATCACCCTGGGGTGGGGCGAGGGAGCAGGAAGTTGGGCTGTGGCTTGCCTGCTGGGACACTTGACCTAGGCCTGTGTTTTCACTGGTCAGGCTCCCAGGAAAGGGACTCGTCCCTGCCTTAAAGGCCAAGGCAGCATGGAAAAGCACGACCTGAAGGCCTCTGTCCCCCAGGACCTAGGATCCGTGGACAAAGCCCTGCAGAGACGCAAGAGGCCAGCCCCGCCCTCCAGACTGCCCCTCCCAAAGCTGCAGTCAGCCGCTGACTAGAACTTAGAAGACCTCCCCTTCATGAATTTGAGGCTGCTTTCCCCCTTTATTCCCAAATTATCTGACACCTTAAAGCAGCGGTTCTCAACCGTGGGTCATGACCCCTTTGGGGGTCGAATGACCCTTTCACAGGGGTCCCCTACGACCATCGGAAAACAAGATATTTACAGTACAATTCATAACAGTAGCAAAATTACAGTTATAGAGTAGCAACGAAAAATAATTTTATGGTTGGGGGTCACCACAACATGAGGAATTGTATTAAGGGGTCGCAGCATTAGGAAGGTTGAGAACCGCTGCCTTAAAGCAATCAGAATCAAGTTGGAAGGCCTCAAGAGCCTGAAGTAATTGAATCTATTAAATAGACACTTTAGGTTCTGTCCTAAGGGAGCAAAATCGGGAGACAGAGTGAGGTGCAGAAATAAGACGGATCTCCATGTCCCTCTTCCTGCAGAGGCTGTGTGTGTGGGCATGGGATATGTGGGAGCCAGTGGGACTGTGCACTAGTGAGTGTGTGTTGGGGAGGTGGCCCTGCAGTTTGAATGGCTCTGCAAAAGAACATTTGTTGGATGGCATGTTATTGTGTGTGCATGGGGAGGGTCAAAGTGTGTGCTTCTGTGAGTTCCAAGGGGTATGTGCGTGTTCACATTCAACTCAGAGCTGGCGATGGGTTTTCTTGCTCAAATGGCTTCCCGGGCTGACATTTTAAGTGTAAGTCCTTGTCTTCCATCAAACACCATGTGAAGGCCGGCCGAGTGGCTCAGTTGGTTAAGAGCTCGCTCAAGAGTTTGAGATCTGAGCAACAGCGGTTCAAGTCCTGGCCTGAGCTGAGCAGCCGCTGAGCTGCCAACAGGTGGCAGGATGGCTCAGCTAAAAAAAAAAAAAAAAAAAGCCATGTGAAAACTACTGGACTAGGCCATGGTTAAAAAACAACTGTGCTATACAGTGACCCTTGAAGAAGGGACTAAGTTTTTCACATTTAGCCCTAGAAACAAGGTTATCTCTACTGAAACACTGCCACACAGCAGGACCAACACACCCTCCTCACCACCTGCCCAAATCGTGCAAGGATGAGATATTTGCTGTGAATGTAAATTATCCTCATTGCATCGTAGGCATTTTCAAACATGGCCATGGTTTGTGAGGGAAGTGAAGGAATGCATGGGGACTGAAGCACCCCGAAGGAGACCCTCACATCTGCCACCCCAGCTGGAGGAACCCAGTGCAAGCTCCTCTCGGCAAGACTAGTTCACCCAAGGAAAAAGGTTAGCATTTTGGCAACTTGCTGTTTCCATGTGGAGTCTTAAATTTTCTGTTTCTAATTTAACATTTTTATTGAGTTGGGCCGCCTCTAGTCAACTTTGGAAGCAAAAGGATATGAATAATAAATGAATGTCTATTCAGATTGGGCACCACATCCCAAGATGCCCTGCCTAGTAGTTTGGCGCTGTATATTTGCAGTCTGAGGAAGGTAATTCAAATCAATCAAATGTTAACTAGACCCAAACCAGGCTCAAAGGTCCAGGAGGGCTTTGGCAGTCATCAGGCTCAGCCTTGCTCTCAGGGAGCTGTCAGTCTGACAGGAGAGACGGGAAGCACCAAGGTGCTGGTGTTATAATATAGATGTCCAAAGTGCTGGGGGGGGGGGGGAACACAGAGGAAGTGCAGTCAATGGAACCAGAGGGAGGGAAGTCAGGTTAGGACAGGACCTTCCTGAGAATTAAAAAGAATGACAGTTGAATTAGGCCTTGAAGGATGAGTAGCATTTTGATAGACTGATAAGAAAGAAAGAGGGAAGCTTAAGTGTCACCAGGATTCTATGAGTGGCTAGGAGCTGTGCTAGGTGTTTTAGCAAAAGGGCATTCCAGACAAAGAGGATGATGGGAGCAAAGGCGTGGGGGTGTGAGAGTATGTGACCAATGCACTTGAAAACCAAGGTGCAAACCACTATGGTGGCAGATAAGGAAGTAGTTCAGTGTGGCAATAGATGGGCCTAGAAAGTGAAGCAAGGGCCAGATCACATGGCGCCCTGAACACCAACCAGGCTGGGGAGTTTGGATTTCATTCTATAGCCAACAAGGACCACTAATGGGTTATAAGTCAAGTGGTGTAACTGACCAGATGTGCCTTTTAGAAAGATACAATTGAGAGCAAAATGGAGAATACAGGGAGAACAGGCCAGAGGTTCTGAAAACTGCTAGTGGGCTATTGGAAAGCCTAGACAGGGATAAGCTGGCCCTAATCCAGAGCCCAGCGCCTTTTCAAAGCGGTCGGGCAGACATCATGCCAAGAGGGTAGCCTAAGTGTGGGTGGCCAGACAGTGCCCTCCGAAATTCCCATTTGAATAACTGCAGAATATACAAAGACCATTGCCCTGTTATACATGATTAAAGTGAGATAGCATAGGCTTACTGATGTCCTTGAAAAGCGTAGGGTAATTACTAGGAGAATTCAAAACTATATGTCTACTTTCCAAATCACTGCAAAAGATAATAGCAAATGAAAATTGCCACACCAAAAAATAAAAATAAAAAAAGGAAAAAACCACAAGCGTAGTCTAAAGGAAACATAAAACTCGTAAAGCATAAAACAAGGTCATAGGGATAAAACTAAATATAATGGTGATGAGGTAAATGCAAATGCAGAGCCTGTGAGATCGGATCATTCATGATTGTCATTTGTTGAGTACATGCTCCATGCCAGGCACTCCTCTACATGTCCCATACAATATGGGGATAGGAGGATGACACGGAACTCTCCGATTGAGGCTCTGAGTTAGTAGCGATCACAAAGTGATGTGAGATAGCATCAAATGAGACGGTGATGAGGTAAATGCAAATGCAGAGCCTGTGAGATCGGATCATTCATGATTGTCATTTGTTGAGTACATGCTCCATGCCAGGCACTCCTCTACATGTCCCATACAATATGGGGATAGGAGGATGACACGGAACTCTCCGATTGAGGCTCTGAGTTAGTAGCGATCACAAAGTGATGTGAGATAGCATCAAATGAGACTTGGAAAAGAGGCAGTGAAAAAGGTGGGTCTGCATCCTTCTCTAGTACACAG